GTAAATGAAGATTTTTGGCAGTCTGTTTGAATTTTTTCAGAATAATTAGTAATATTGATCATAATGAAGCGAAGTGATAAAAAAAGCATCTAAAAAGTGACAGTACTGAGGATGGACACATCTGTAAGGAAATGGTGTGAAGGTACTTAATACATGTTAATTTACTTCCCACATCTGGATGGAGGTCATTCCTGGGGGGCTCAGGTATGTTGACCACGAAGCAGATATGCTGTATATATCAAATATAAATGCTTGTGACAGTGAATGCCACTACTTAGGGCCCCTGGAAAAAAATCTCAGGAAGGAGAAACAGGAAACAGTCATTTACTGCTTTTCTACCAGGTGTCAGACACTGTGTTGAGTACTTTTTATAAACATCCTTTTGTATCTCTTTATGGAGACACAAAATAATTTATATTATATCCCAGTGCCAGGTATAGTTGGGCTTCTCCTAATTACTTACACTGTTTATTTCATAGACATTTCATAAATTATATATTTCCCTAGTACTAATATTTATCATTTATTAGGCCTTTACTTTTTTTTTTTAGTACCAGGAATCAAACTCAGGACCTTACACTTGCCAGGCAGGTGCTTGTGCCACTGAGCTGTATCCCCGGCAGGCCTTTACTATGTTTTAGGTACTAATCATTTACATGCATTTCTCTCTAAATCCTCACTGTAGTCCTTTTGTATCTTAGATCTAAAATTCAGAGAGGTTAAATGACTTTTCCAAAAGTCCCATATATGGTAATAGAGCTAGAATTCAAACTTAGGTCTTACTTGTTGTTGTATGGCCCAGCTGTTTCTTCTTAAGATATTTATCTGTGTTATTGGCCTCCTCTGTGTTTGGTTCTGAATGTCTGACCTATATCTTAAGCTTTTATTCACTTAGCAACTTATATCTAAAGGGAGGTAGAGGGAGCTGGGGATTTAGCTCAGCGGCACAGTGCCTGCCTGGCAAGCGCGAGGTCGTGAGTTCGATTCCCGGTACCAGAAAAAAAAACGAAATAAATAAAGAAAGAAAGAAAGAAAGGAAAGTAGAAAGAGAAAGACCTAGTGGACCCTTGACTTGTGAACTCTGTTCCTGAGAGCTACTTGTAACTCAGGTTGTCAGTTGAAGCCTCAGGCTCCTCTACACAGCATTGAAAGTCTCTCTCCTGTGTAAAGGCCCATCTCAGTGTCCTTAGAGAGATGTTGGCCCTGGATTTCTCAATTAACCCCATACAGGAAAGGATGTTTCTTCCAGAACTTTAGGGGTTAAATCTGTATCTGAGACCATCTGGAAGCACAAGCAGCCAGCCTTGGGGTTATACCTCAAGACTTCGGTTGTAAGTTAAAACTAAAATCCTGTCGTAACCCAAGTTGTTCGTATGTCAGGCCAGCTGTAACTTGAGGGTCCACTGTATGTCATTCATAGAAATGCTGGTGGTTAATTTGAATTAGTTTTTAGAAATAGGATCTATTACTTTCTAATGCTGGTCTTACTTTCTTAACCATTTTTTTTAAATCTTGTTATATTAAGCATTAACCACACATGTATTAAAGCATATGTAATACTTTCTGGTATGATTATTAGTATTCATTAAGCAAATATTTACCTTATGAGCATATACCTTATGCTTATACATCATTGAACAAGCCAATCACACTATCTTCATAAAGTTTATAATTGTCATAAATATTTGAGTGGATGGGTTGTGTTTTATATGACTCATTCTTGCCCTAAACGTACCATGAACAGTCACACCTGAGTGTGCTATAAGAATAAAACAAAATTTGGGTGGCTTATCTCATCCAAGTATTTATCTCATCCAAGAACACTAATGAATGCAGAATATAAAGAAATATACTCATCAAGAAATGTGTAACTATGTCTTTGTCAGTTTGAATACCACAGTTCTTAGAAGAGTGAGACAATTACAGTATACAGTACTTTATTTGGAAAAAAAAATAGTGTGAGCCAGAGATTGTTGGGGGAGCATTGTCAGAAGAATTCCAGAAACTGCAAGTTGTTACACAGATGTATTGATTTAATTAGTCTAGATAACACCATTTATTTATTCTTAAGCATCTCACACATGCAAAAGTTGGTAATTCAGAGTCACACAATATTTGAGTTATTTTCTGTACCACAAGTTGTAGCTTCTCAATATCAACTTTGGTGAGTATATCAGATGTTTAAGCATAAATAAATGATCTTATATAGACCAGTGAAACAATACACTTTGCTTCTGGGATTCTGTGTATATAGTTTCATGTAAAATCTTCTGGTTGATGGCTTTTAAGTAATATTAATTGTTCTAAACACAGTTTAATTTCAGTATGGGCAAGAGCCTCATTAGAAACAGAACATACCTGGGTTCTGCTGGTTAAGGCTTTTTTGGATACCAAGTAGAACCCTGAAATTGCTGTAATTACTGGTGAAATTGGTTTTTTTTTTTTTTGGTTTTGTTTTGTTTTTGAGGCAGGGTCTTGCTGTATAGTGTAGCTGGCCTTGAACTCATGTATGTAGCCCAGGCTGGCCTCAAACACACAGCAATCCTCCTGCCTCACCCTTTGGAGTGCTGGGATTACAGGTGTGCGCCACCATGCCTGGCAATGAAATTGTTTTGGTTAACCAAGCAAAGAATATTCTGGATAGTGAGTGGTGGTGAGGTGAGTTATTCTCTTAGCAAAAAGACTGACATTTTCTTGAAAGGTAAAAAATAAACCAAAAGAAAATCTGTATTATTCTTGTGGGGAGAAGGAAACCAATTAGAACCCCTTTGCTATTCTCTTCTCACTTTTTCTACTTTAACTGTAAGAACACCGAGGTATTCTATGTCTGCCAGATTTTACAGTCCTGTTTTCACACATTTTTTAAAATGTTATTAGTTTTTTTTTTTTAATCTTTACCTAATTTAAACAGTTTTTTTTATTCCTTGGTGGTTGTGTAAAGTGGTAAGATACCCAAGGAGACTGGAGTCAGTCATGATGGTGCATGCCTATAATCCTAGCTGCTTGGGAGGTGGAGGCAGAGGGCTTGCAAGTTTGAGGCCAACCTGGACAACAAAGCAAGACTGTATCTCAAATTAAAAATTTTTAAACTGGGTGTGGTGGCATCAACCTATAATCCCTGCATTCGGAAGGAACAGGCAGGAGGATCACTGAGAGTGCGAGGCCAGCCTGGGCTACATAATGAGACATTGTCTCAAAGAAACAAAAAAAAATTTTTTTAAAAAGGACCAGGGATGTAGCTCAGTGATAGCATGCTTGCCTAGTGTGTTCAATGCCCTGGGTTCAATCCCCAGTACCAGGGGAAAAAAAAAAAAAAAAAGGAGGGCAGGGGATATAGCTCAGTGGTACAGTGCCTGCCTGGCAAGTGTGAGGTCCTGAGTTCGATTCCCAGTACCCAAAAAAACCATAGTCAGAGATGTGACAAGTAAGAAAAAGGCTTTTGGGATGTAGCTAATATACTAGGAATTCAGATAATTTCTTTCCGAGCGTGATATGTTTCATTTCTATTGTTTTTCCCACCATGCTCCCGAGAAAATAGAAGGGGGAATGGTCAGTTAACTCAGTTTTACGCAGAAAACAGAAGTTTATAGGGATTAAGCGTCTTGCCTAATGTCAAATTTACTGAGAAGATAGTCCCAGATGACACGGAATTCTGGAGCTTGGCAGAGTGTGTAACATGTTACTCATCTAAAATGTGAAAGACAGTCATTTTCTTGGAAGTCTTGACTATTTCTGGTCAATTTTTATTCCTCTGAGAATAGCCACCATCTTATCTCCAAGATAGGAGCTTGTTTGGAGGTTAGGGTCCTGTGTAAGCTTCAAGAGATGTTAGGGACTCTTCTTACTGAGCACAGCTGGCTTAGTAGGATTTTAAGCAAATATATATATAATATTTTCCTGTGTTTTTCTGACATGAGTTTCTTCAGACTACCAAGTGCCCATGTTAATTAGTGTTCAAAGAATGTGAAATGTCACTTTAAGCTCATTAGCTATCATTTCTTCCTGTTCTATAATATGGTGTCTCATTTAATGTGCACTTAATTGAATACATGTGTAAGTTTTGGGATGGACGCACAACCACTGGCAAGGCCACTGCCCACTGCCGCATGAACCAAATGCAAGGGCAGAAACACATTCTGAAGACAAAAAGGGAACCATAAAAATGAGAGTCCCACTGCCGTTGCCTAGGGGCAGAGACAGACTGAGTTCACCATGGTAAGTGTCCCCATAGGTGTAGAAAACATTATCATCCATTTGGAGATGAAGTGCAAGGCAGCTCAGTCAAGTAACGTATGTTTTTAAACTTGAAGGCAATATAAAGAAAGGACATATAAGTTCAAGTTATAGTTGCCTTTTTATTTGTCTTATTGATGAAAAAGTTTTTAATGTAGCTTAGGGGAGGCTTCTTGTATTAGAAAAATGTTAATATTTCACCTAAAACTACAGTTCTGGTGTTACTGTGTTTCCTTCTGTTTGTGGACTTCCATTATTTTTCTTCTAGGTTGTATTTGTTGGTTTCAGTAGTTAGAAACGACACAAACACCCATGCATTGCCTTTGAAGTGCTTTTGTGTCAGATTCTTGTCCACAGGCTTTAAGAAAAAAACAAGTGTTTTCTTTTTTTTGAGACAGGGTCTCCCTATGCAGTTCAGGCTGCCCTTGAGCTCACTTTGTAACCCAGGCTCCTCTTGATCGTGCTGCCTCAGCCTCCCAAGTGTTGGGATTACAGGCATGCGCTACCACGCCCAGCTAAGCAGTGTTTTCATACACCCAAACTACTCTAAATGTTAAAAAAAAAAAAAAAAAAAAAAAAGTTGACCTCCATTCACCTCTGACCACACTCCGGGTCCTGTGCATTTTTCTACATTTTTGCCTTCACTGTGATTTGCCCATTTGCTGCTACTTTTTTCTTGTTCATCAAGAATCAGAATACTCCCCATTTGCCATGGGAAGCGTTGGTGTTACGCTTCAGTCATCACTTTGCCATGTTTTTCCTTTCAGACCCCATATCATGTGAACCTTCTCCTGGCTGGCTATGATGAGCATGAGGGGCCAGCACTCTACTACATGGACTACCTGGCAGCCTTGGCTAAGGCCCCTTTTGCAGCCCATGGTTATGGTGCCTTCCTGACTCTCAGCATCTTGGACCGGTACTACACTCCGAGTAAGTACTAACACTCTAAAGAGGGAGCAGTGGCAGAGCCCTGCCCTTAGCTGCTTTCTAGTTTTGCCTACCCTTGGAGTTGGGTGACAGTCTTGAATAGAGGATGAATCCTCTCTGGAAGCTGCGCTCTTGTGAATCTGGGGGTTCTTCAAGAAGCTTGTTGATAAAAGTCCGTCTTTTGCCAGCCAAGATGAGCTGTTGCCTATCTCTAGAGCTGGGGCTTCTTTCTTTGTTTGCTTGTTTATTTGTTTGTAAGGAGTATTGGAGTAGATGTCATAGAGAGTCAAACATTTTTATTAGGTAATAGAGCTCTTTGTGAGAGTCGAGTTTTTTTATTCATTTTGTATGTCTGCATTATTGACATCTCAGCTGCAGCAACTCATCAGTTAAACCAAGTGGTTTGTGTGTGTGCTGAACTTGTGAAGATGAACAGGTCCCCATAATAACAACTGAGGGTGTCTTTGTTTAAACATCAGAGCTTTTAAGGCTATGAATCTGGACTCTGCTTTTGGTTCTTTTCCTTACTGACTACTTCGTCCTGCAAGAAAAAATAGTCCTTCTCCTTGTCCATAAATTGTTAGCTTGACAAAGCTTCAGACCCATGATGTTTTTTGCTCAGTTCTATCTTCTGACCCCATTCTCACCTCAGCTTTAGCCAGTGTGGGCATCAGCACTGGGAAGTTTTAGTTTTTACGAACTATAGATGCAGCACAGAAAATCACTTCTCTCCATACTTTCCTTTCTTACCTGTCAGCAGCATCAGAATCTGGCATATTCATTCCTTTTTGGTGCTGCCCTTTGGCTCAACCTCAGCCACACTAGAGCTCCAGGCCACATCGTGAAAAAATTGCTCTGATCTCTTGGTGTCTGTCTGTTGATTTGTGTCTGTCAGTACTACAGCTGATTTGCCCACCAAAATAACCATCAACTGCCCCTGAAGCCTAACTGCATAACATGTCATCCCAGTTCGCCATGCCTGCAGACAGTTCCTTTGGATCCTGTTTTAGGAGTCTCAGTCCCATCCTATGAATTCTCTTCTCATTGTTAAAACTGAGACCCAGCTGGGAAAGTGAGGCTAACACTCTGGCCCTGTCCTCCTATTTCCTGATTTGCAGCTGGTTACGGCAGATGGAATTGATTGAAGCTCTGCACTAAAGGAGGTAGCGGGGTGGGCTATAAAAAAGAGAGGCAGGCCACTGGACTTCTTCAGAGGCGGGCCCTGGCCAGGGGAGGCAGAATTCCGTCATGGTTACCCTTCTCTGTAGCAAATCAATTTGCAATGGCTTGTGGCTGCTAGAGCACTGGGTCTGGGGCACTCTCAGCTGCATATGGAATAAGTTTATTGCAGGCTAGAAGGCTAAGCATTTTTTACCTTTTCTATTTTGTATGATACTTGGACCTGAAGAAGTTTGAGACTTAATCAAAAGCTGCTGAGGATTGAACTTAATGGTGGCACCTCAAGTGCTTCGTGTCTTTGTTTTCTTTCAGCTATCTCACGTGAGAGGGCAGTGGAGCTTCTTAGGAAATGTCTGGAGGAGGTGAGTAGCTCCCATAGGATTGTGAAAGGAATGTTTGTCTCCCTGTTTGCCAGAATCATTACTGTTCCATGTTTGCTTTTTTTCCTGGTCCTTGCCAGAAGGTGTAATAAATACCCACTGACCAGATGTGAAGTTGCTAACCAGGGATGGAGTTTGCTGTGGGTTATAAGCTTATTTTTCTCTCATGGGTCACTTCCTCGTCAACGTCAGTTTTACAGTTTATTTTTCTTTCTGGTTCATCCAAACCAGTGGTTCTCAAAATTCATGTGTATAAGAATCATCTGGGGAACTTGTCAAAAAGCAGATTACTTTCCCTGCACCAGCCCAATTTCTGATTCCACTGTCCTGAGATAAAGACTGAGAACCTTGAGCCGCATGTAAAGACACCCACCTGTAATCGGAGCACTTGGGAGGCTGAGGCAGACGGGTCACCATAAGTTCAAGAGGAGCCTGGGCTACATGGCAAGACCCTGTCTCAAAAAAAGATACTACTGAGAATCTCTATTTTAACTGACAGTCCCAGGTAATAATTGGGGACATAATTGTAAGAACTATTGCCCAGGACTTTATACCTACTCTGTTCTTGTGCTATCTCTGTTTGCCCTACTGCTTACTTGCTTACCAGTTGATGAGCCCTGCTAATTGCTAATTTGGAGAGAAACCTTTAGCATTGAAAAGGCCAGAGAAAGCTGTGTACAGAAGGGGAGCAGAGCCCTTTGCTTTTGAGGCCAAGAACCCACTCTGCTCACAGCCTAAGGCTTTGGGTGTGAATGTAGGAAGAGGTGGCAAAAAGCAACCTCATTCTTTTATTCTTCTTGTGGCATATGTATGAACTTGAGTTCATGGTCTCAGGAGATAAGAGCAGGTGGGAGCGTTGCCGCTTACACAGGCCTGTCTTTTTCAGTCCACAGCGCCCCCTTTCCCTTCATCCTGGTTTGTACGTCCCTTTTCCAAGGCAGGTGCTGAGAAGAAACTCGGTTTTTTTTTAACTGGTCAGCTAAGAGGCCACGTTGGCCCTAAGTGTCACAAGGAGCTGCCAATGAAGAAGCTACTGGAATATTAAGTACTTTTGAGACGTTACCCTTCTCCATGCCTCCTAAAGAGAGTCATTTTCAAAACCCTTATTACCACTTTTTTTGGTCTTGGAACTTGATTCGGGAGATAAGAGTCATCAGCCAGAAAAGACTCTGGAAATGGAATGGGCTGTTTCTGCCTGAGCTGCGGAGGAGATGAGAAACATGATGGAAGGGAGGGCTTAAGCCTGGAAGGGTGGATGGTTCCAGAATCAGCTCCTAAGGAAAAAATGGAGCTGCTGCTTTCTGGAAGCTCTAAATGAGGCATCCAAGAAGAATAGCTATAGAAGTAAAGATTTCAGAGCTACTATCCCCAGTAATCTCGAGCCGGGTTAGTGGGCTGTCTGTTTCTGTGCACGTAGTTTACAGCCTGCACTGGAGGAGACAGAAGTAGGGCTTGTTTTAAGGGTTCTGTTGACATTCTTCTCACCACCCCTCCGGCTGCACATACAGAGGCACCCACACTAACCAGGGCCTTCTCATGTGGGTAAATCACAGGCCCAAACTGTCAGGACCGAGGAGTGTACTGCTTTGGCCCAGAGTTTGTTCCTGGGGCACTGATTCCTTGTCAGCTTATTACCTAGAGACATTTCAAGAGTAAAGTCTGTGCTTACCGGACTGATCGGTAGCAGGCTGTGGGAATAAGAACACCGCCCACTTCTTTCATAGGCTGGCTGACCAGAGGCAGACTCCCAACTGCATCTCCCAGCCTGTGCTCACTGCCTGGTAGGCAGCCTCCAGCTATGGTTTGGGCATTCCTCAGCACCCTAGGAACAGCTACCCGCAGGAGAATGCCAGTTCCACAAAAGCAGGGATTTTTATGTTTGTATCCACTGTGCCTAGAATGGAATCTGCCATGTACTTAGTGCTCAGTAAGTGCTTGTTGACGGATTTGCTTCATTTTTCTTTGCAGCTCCAGAAGCGCTTCATCTTAAATCTGCCAACCTTCAGTGTTCGAATCATCGACAAAAATGGCATCCATGACTTGGATAACATTTCCTTCCCTAAACAGGGTTCCTAACATCATGGCCTCCCTCCCACTTGCCAGGGAACTTTTTTTTATGGGTTCCTTTAATTTTTTTCTACTCTTTCGCAGTGCACTCTTAATAGATAGCTAATTCAGAATAAAGCTAACTATGGATAAATCGAGCTTTCTGGTTTGGATCTGTTTACCTAACCTCACCTCAGAAAGGCAGGGAAGGGAAGGTTACCTTTCTGCCGAGCTTTCCCTTCATTAATGCTCTTGGGACCCTGAGCTTCAGACAGCCCCGTGTGGTGCTCCGCTGCGCAGCTTCTCGGTCACCCAGCCATTTTTATGTCCTTACTTGCTAATGACTCGTTCCCTCTAAAGCAGTGGGGGTTTTTGCTGCACTACTTAAATTTTTAAAATTAATTTGAATAGGTATTTAATGAACTTAGTAAAATATGCAAACAGTACAAAAATACGTAAAAAATGTTCCTCCCATCTATATAATCTAATCACCTGCTGCTCTTCCCAGAGGAGATTTCAGCTTCAGATTAGTTTTTCTCCTTCTCTTCCTCCTGAATGACCAAAGGCAATCCTGCCTGCTGGTTTTCCCATCTGGAAAATGACAGAGGACCTACTTGGTTGGTCATGGCAGTGGTGGTGATAATTTTATGAAGACATATATGTAACATTTAACACAAGGCCCGGAAATATATGGTATATTTGTTTGCACCCAGGTCCTAACCAGGAATGAAAGGATCTCTTCCTTTCAATCTTAGTATCCCAAGAGCACTCAGGCAAGCCTACAAACCACCTTGACTCTCTCTTCTCCACCTGAGATCTCTTTCTGAGCTCCAGATCAGCTTTAGATATCTCAACCTCCAACCTTAGGGACATCAAACATGTCTAAAGCTGCGCCTTACCATCTGCCCCCTTTCAAGGCTCTCTGTAATTTTCCATCATGGGGAATTAAAGCCACTTGGCTTCCAGGTGCCTAAATCAGCAACTTAAGTATCATACCCCCGCAACCCCCTCAGTGCTAGGGATTGAAGCCAGGATCTCACGTATGCTAATACAAGCATACTACCGCTAAGCCACACCCCCACCCCTTTTTATTTTGATAGTCTTCCTAAGTTGCCCAGGCTGTCCTGGAACTCTCCATCCTCCTGCCTCACCCTCCCAAATAGCTAGAATTATGGGGATGTGTCAGTACACTAGGTGGTTTTTTAATAAGCGCTTTTTTTTTTTTTAATGAGATTGGGCCTTGCTGTTGTAGTCCAGGTTAGCCTTGCACTCACTGTTAGCCCAGGATATCCTTGAACTCACAGTAGCTCTCTTGACTCAGCCTCCTGAGTACTGGGATGGCAGGTATGCGCCATCATAAACTTTTTTGCGGGGGCTGCTGGGGATTTAGCTCAGCAGCACAGCGTCTGCCTGGCAAGCGCGACGTCATGAGTTCGATTCCCAGTACCAGAAAAAAAACAAACAAAAAATAAAATAAACTTTTTTTTTTCTTTTTTGTCTTTTTGAGACAGGGTCTCTCAATGTAGTTCAGGCTGGCCTTGAGCTCACTTTGTAGCCCAGGCTGGCCTCCAAATGTAGCCCAGGCTGGCCTCAAAATGATCATCCTGTCTCAACCTTGAGAGAGCTGGGGTTACAGGCGTGTGCCACCATGCCCGGTTCTTTTTTTTTTTTTTTTTTCTTTTTTGTCTTTCTGGCTGTCATAAACTTTTATTCTGAATAACGGAGAGAAAAGTTACAAGGAAAATATAGTATCGTATCACCCAGTGTCTTCTAATACTAGCATCATGTGGAACCATGGAGCATTGTCAGTACGAAGAAGCCAATACTGGTGCATTAGTGTTAATTGAAAAACAGCCTTTATGCAGATTCCACGTTTTCCCTTTAATGTCCTTTATTTATAAAAGGGCTTTTGGGTATCGTCCGTGGAACCACATTGTGCTTCATTTGGGCATGACTTCTTTTCCAGTGTTGGGGTCTGAATCTAGGACTTTGACCATCCTTATCTTTTTTTTTTAAGGTAGAGTCTTATTAAAGTCACTGAATTGCCCGTCCATGCAGGGCCCAAACTTGTCTTCTTCCTTTTCGACTTCCCAAGTGCTGGGATCACGGGTGTGCAGCCACGCCCAGGTTGGGCATGATTTTTGATGCCATTCTTTATCTCCTGTCTTCACATGGGTACCAAGTTGTCATTTCTACTGCTTAAATCTTTTTTTTTCCTTAAATGTTTTAAGTCTGTCCCCATTATTTTGTTCATCCCCCTTCATTTCTTGGACTGCTTCACCAGTGTCCTACCTTCACTCTAATTTCTTCTCCCTCCAGTTCTTTGTGGTCTAAAATACTAGTTTGACCACCCATTCCATCTCACTTAAAACTTCCTGGTAGTTTTTACATTGCTTATACAATAAAGCCCAGTTGCTTGGTTTGACGTACTAGGCATCTCATAGTCCTCCCAGCCTCACTGCCCAGCTTCCTTTCACTCTTACGTATTTCATGAGACCCAGGTTCAAACTAAATTTACATGACCCCAACTACACTTAGGACTTTGCATTTGTGTACAAACACCTGCCATAAGAAGGGTTATCGCTACTGTGTGTGTGTGTGTGTGTGTATTCACTCTCAATGCTTCATGCTCTGATATTTTCTAGTCTGGATTTTATTTCTAGAAATGTCAACTGTGTCCTAAATCGATTTCTTGAAGTATGAAAAATGCTAGGAATGCAGTGATTCTTTAACACTCCTAGCCAGACATTGCCCAGAATGGCCTTCCCATTGGTTTCCATCTGCTTGCAGGTGATTAATGCACAGAAAACAATATTCCTTCCCAGGCTTGGGGTGGGAGGGTTCAGGTTGGAGGAGAGAGCAGCTGTTGTGCCTCAGGGTAGGGAAGCTCAGCTTTGACTGGTGAAGAGCTGCTGACGGGAGCCTCTGAGAGGGAAAAGGATGCTGACATGGCTTGAGAAGCTCTTGGTACCTGCTGAGCAATGGAGGCTGAGCCTGCTCTGCCTGAAGCCCAGAGGCCCAGGGTCCTGTCACGGTGTCCTCACCTTGGTTCCTCAGCAGAAGCAGCAGAAGCAGCAGCAGTGCTGGAATGAGGGGAAGGACATTTTCAGGATTCTTTTCCCAAGTCTGCTGCTCTCTTAACTCCTGTGTGTGGGTCGTAAGCAAGTGTGTGCGCGAGAAGAGAAAGGCCTGCACCACACCCTGACCTCCCTTCGTGAGGCTTGAAGGAGGCATCTGAACATTGCACTCTTATTTCTCCTGCAACACTACGATCCTCTCAAAGGAAACAGAAATACTTCCTGTGAGTATAAACTCAAACTTTCACAATTTGAAAATCATGATGCTTATGCAGCCTAAACACTTAATTTGCAGCTTCTTGCTTTGCAAACAAGGAGTTGTGTAAGCCATCTTGTATACTTTTTCTTTAATCATTGTCTCCTTCAGGGCTAAACGCAGCTAAGCTAGTCAGAAGAGAAAACATTATTTTGCTGTGAGGGGAAACAAACGAAAAAAATCAAATGCCGAGACCTCAGGAGTTTCCCATGCCATTAACATGGTCTCCATCCTGTATTGCTTGCTTGTTAATGACCTTGACCCTGGCCGGTGTGGGAGAGCATTGGGGTGCAAGGAGCTGGGAGGACCTTCCTCTTGGTGGGGTCAGGCCTGGGAGCATCCCTGCACAGGGCTGTGAGGTGCATGCAATAGAAATGAGGGAGGGCTGGATCAAGCTGACATCCATGAGATCTACTCTTGTGACACCAAAGGCATTAGGCAAGTTACTCAATGACAATTTTTGTAAGGGGGGGGTGGGCTATATAGAAGTACAGGCAGAGTTTATTGTGAAGCAAAGATAGGAAATTAAGCCCTCAAGCAAGAAGGTGGGTATTGCCATGCGGGCATCTGCCTAGAGTGGGAATTTGGATTTTTTTTTGAGACAGGATCTTGCTACATAGTCCAGGCTGACCTTTAACTCAGTATGTAGCCCAGGCTGGCCTCAAGCCCACAGTGATTCTCCTGCCTCAGTTTCCCTAGTGCTGTGATTACAGGGATGTGTGCCACCACACCCAGCTTTGGATATCTTTTTTATGCACCTGGGAGTTACTCCTGGGGTTCGGAGAACTAGAGTGACTATGATGTTTATTATTTTTCTTAGAGGTTACTTTGTAATTACAAATGTCTTTCTTTGTTTTTGTTTTTTTTCAGATGGCCAGTGTTCCCTCATGTTCTTAATCATGTAAGAAGCTTAAGAAAAAAATTTATGAGAGAAAAAAATTTTTTGCAGTGCTAGTGATTGAACCTGGGGTCTTGTACTTCCTAGGTATGAGCTCAACCACTGAGCCATACCCTCAGCCCATGAAAAAAAAAATTTAAATCAGGTCTTAGCCCAAGGCAAGAGGGTTTTTAATAAACATTTCCCTTTCTGATATCACTGGGCCATAGATCTAACCAGTTTTTATTTTTCTACAATAGGACTTGGTGAGAATTACGTGGTCCTTTCTTTAGGGAAAGTTGTCTGGTACTGAAAAGTACTTGAGAAACTGGCTTCGTCCTTGCTCAGCAGCCTTCTATTGGTACCATATGCCAGGCATCTGCAAGTGCTATGTCTTTTACCTGGTCATTTCCAGACTGATCTAGGCTAAATGAGGCCATGCAGGGAGCCAGTGTGGGTGGAGAAGGAAGGTCGGCGCTTAAATCAAGTGGAGAGAGGACCAACATGGGCAGAAATGTAACCACCTAGTTCAGAGGAAACAAGAGGTTGGGAACCAAGGGATATTTCAGAAAAGAGCAAGTGGTCAGCCGTATCAGTGCTGCAGCTAAACCCAGGAAAGGCCTTTGGATTTTTACATCTTCATCATTGAATGGATTTCAATAGACTGGTAGGAATTGAAGTGAGTTGAAAAGAATTGAGGGTGCAAAAACATTGGGGGTGTAGCAATCTTCCGCAAACTTTAACTGCAAAGGAAATAACGAGATGGGGAAAGATTTATAAGATAAGAGATCTTGGAATATGTGTATTTTGGGGAATGATCTAATAATTCAGTAGAGAAGGAGAGATTGATAATGCTTAGAAAAGATGCCTGAAGACTGAAAGCCTCGTCAGAGATGAATTAGCATTTGCCTGACGCGCGCGCGCACACACACACACAATCATCAGCATTCACACTGATACACAGATCTACCACCAACAGTCATAACACATCATATAGACCTAACAGTCAAGTTGACACATTGACCTATAGGCCCAGCAAGTCAAAAATACACAGTATTCCCTTGACACACAAATAGCCATGTGGGCATGCCAGATAGATACATACCAAGATCCGTACCCCTCCCAGGGGTGCTTGCACCCCCTAGTAGTGTTTTTCCCTTTAGAACTCCCCTGTCCCCTGTGACCTTGCTGTTAGGATGCAAACCAGGCCTGGGCTGAAGGAGAACAGCAGAGCTTCACATCCAAATAAAAAGGTTTTATTAAGAGAGTGAGAAAGCAGTTTGAGAGAGGGGAGGGACATCAACTGCAGGGCCAAGAGCAACAACAAATATAAAATTCTGGTGACAGCTCAGGATGCCTGACACAACCTTCCCTCCCAGCCCACCCACAGTCCTCTGTAAGCAAGACACCCTCTCCCCTCTGGTCGAAGTGGACATCTCAGTGCATGAGCAGGAAACAGTGAAATAATCCCCAACTTATTGGGATAAATAGGCTGTGTTGGACATCCTTAAACTTTCAAATTTAATTACAACATACATAAATAAATAGGACAGACATAAATGGGACAGTGATTCAAGTTCTGTGATTTGTGCTTTTTCTTCTTTGTTCCTCGAGGGCCTCTCTTGCCCTCTGAGAGTGGGAAGGGTCCAAAGAGCCCACTGGGCCCTTCTGCCAGCACCCCTTTTCTGGGGATAGGAGATTCTGAGATGAGGGTCACCAGCTCCTCAGTAGCACCTCTGATTTGTTACTGCCCTTCCTGCCATCAGTAAAAAAGTCTTGGCCCCTGGGAGGACCCACTGCCACCCAGCCACCCTAGTGGGAAGGGTTCTTCACCATGAGGCAACTTTAACCGCACCAATTTCCTGTCCAACTTCTCAGCAAAGGTTAGAAAACTGCACACGTGAAACAGATACATGGACCCTACAACAAACCACAGAAAGGCCACTTTCCCTTGCTCCAACCCAGATCCATAACTGGCTTTGCTGGATGAATATTCTCTTTCTGGCCTGACTAAGCCCACCTTTTAGTCCCTTCACGGTCACCCTCAGGAGCTAAGAGCTCTTTTCAGGCTTTGGGAGCCACTGACGAGGCAAGCAGTGCAGTTATTTCCGATGCTTGGCGTCCTTCTCTGAAGTCTTGGTCTCACCATGCCCACTGCCTGCGCTGCTTAGAAACATCTTGTCCACCCCCTTGAGTGACTCCAGCAGGTAGTTCTGGAAGGCTGTGAGGGCAGCGCAGATGGCGGGCCCGCCGAAGCCGTGGGTGATGAGGCTGAAATGTGTCAGGCAGCTCTGCACCCCGGGCTCCAGGATGAGTGCGGGGCGGCTGTTGCCCAGTGGGGAGCGGTCTTGAGCCATCAAGTCTGCAAACTCTTTGCAGATCTGCCTGGTGGGGGAAAGAGGGTCAGAGGATAAAGGTAAAGACCCTGAGTCTAGAAAAGGACCTACTACATGCTGGGTTCTTTATATGTATTATCTACATGCTTGCTTGATCTGACAAATGAAGATGATATTCATTTTACAAAAAAAGGAAACTAAGGCTCAGAGAAGTTAGTGAGTGGCCCAGTATTGCATGGCCAGTAAACAGAACATGCCAGTACCCTACTGAATGCTCTCCCCATGGGTAGCCTGTCCACATTCAAAGTGCAACTCATCTACTTTATCCAGAAAACTTTCCATCATTCTCTCTCACCCCAAACACCCAGTGCGTCCCAAAAACTTGCCTTTTATTATGGAACAGCCCAGAAACCAGTCTTTCTGAAACCAGGAGACTGGTTTCAGAATGGTTAGATGACCAGCCAAAGTGACCAAGCTCGGATTCTAATCCAATTCCCGCCCTGGGCCATTATCCATCCCTTTATGCATCCCATGTGTGGCTCAGGATCGGTTGTCATTTAGCTTTGTGTCACCATAAGATGCCATCTTAGACATGACTAGGGCCCAGGAAGTGGTTGCTAAATGAGCTGATTCATAAAGTAGGTGGATTGCACCCACCGCGGGCTTCTCCAGCCACAACGGGAGGAGCCTCCAGATTTCTCCATGCAGTAGTTCTAGGAGTCTGGTCCGTCTTCTGCCTAGAGGGCTAAAGGAAAGCCTCAGAGGGAGGGTGGAGTTGTTACTGAAGGGCTACATCTGGTTGGGAGCTGGATGGAGTCTAAGCAGGAGAAGGGGAAGCCCAGGGAAGTCATCTGGCCTGGGTGGAGTTTGTGTGGGACAGATTGTTGAACCTCAAAGGAGTCTGAACTTTAGTCTTCAAATTTCACTCTCACCCCCTTCCTTCCCCCTCACCTCTATAATTTTTTTTGCAATTAGACTGCTATTGTCTGAATGAATGTTTGCGAATGCATGTATTAATATCCTTCTAAAATGCATGTATTAATATCCTAGCCCTGGAGCTGACTGTGGTGCACACCTGTAAGCCCAGCACTCAGGAGGCTGAGGCAGGAGAAACACTGCAGGTTCAAGGCCAGACTGGGCTACATAGTTTGAGACCAGCCTAACTACTCTGTTTCAAAAAACAAACAAAAAAAAATCCTACTCTGAGGAGATGGAGACAGAGCCTTTGGGAAATTATTTGATCATTAGGGTGGGAGAGCCCTTATGAACAGGGTTAGCACCTCTACAAAGGAGGCCCAAGAGAGACTCCTTGCCCTTCTACCATGTGAGGACACAGCAACAAAGTATTGTTTGTGTACAAGAAAATAGGCCCTCACCAGAAACTGAATGTCTTCATGTTGGATTTCCCAGCTTCAGGAACAGCTGAGAAACTATTACCCAGCTTATGAAACTCAAGTTTATGGAATCTTGTTATAGATTTCCCAATGGTCTAACACAAGGACCTCTTCTGAGAAAGTAAGTCTTTGTGAAATGCAAGTTCTAAATAGGTTCTGGGACATCTTCACAGAACCTAGTCTGAAAATCATTGCAGAAGCAAGAAGACCCATTGAAGATTCTTGGGCACGTTCAGGGAAGCGGAAGGAAAAGCGGGGCCGTGGGTGAAGGTCCAGGAGTGAGATGAGACCTGATTTGAGGAGGCAACACGTGAACAGTGGTGCGGGAGGCGCCAGTGGGGCCTGGAGAGGGCTCATGTGGACCTGGTGGCCTGGGGAGCTCACTGGAGCAGAGCTGATGGGAGGGCTCAGCAGGGGCCACCTCGGACCCGCAACAGGGACTGCGCTGGCATGCCATGAGGTAGTGTTGTATGTGAGACACCTCCATGTGACACCGTGTTTACTGATGCATAGAATCCAGACATGTTCACATGTTTTGTCCATGTGTTCCCCTGGGGCTTGTGAAAAGTGTTCATGGAGGTCTGAGCGTGATGGATAATGGTGCCCAAATATGCCTACATGTGCCTATGTGTGCCAATGTGGTGTGCACATGTGCACATGTATGCCACATGTGCATGCGTATGCTCACAAGTGCTGTCCATTGTTCTTAGGTCAGTGTCTGTGTCTGTGCGTTGCATCTGTGACAACCAGGGCACGGTGTCCCCACTCACTTGGCAGCCAGCAGCATGCTCTTGCGGCTGTGCAGCTCCCCAGGGTCAGCATGCTGTCGGCACAGGTACTCAGCGGCTGCCTTGGCTGGGAACTCAGTCTCACAGACATAGCCGAAGTCTCTGGCCAGGTGCACGGCCTCTCCTGCGGGGAGGGTGTGGAGTTGTTACTGCCAGGTGGACTTCTAAATCTGGACCCAGCCTTGAACCTCTGACTCCCTGGTCAGATGTTTCTGGAGATGTGCCCTCTTGTTGCCCTCCCGAGCCCTGCTCCAGCCTCAATTCCCTTGGGACTGCCAGGGTCAGGCTCTGAGCTCAGACACAGGTGCTGGATCCACCACGTATTGAAAGCCAGAGCCCAGGGTCACCAACCTCTAGGGAAGGGGGCTGTCACCTTCCTCATCTCATTCCCACATCCAAACACTGGCTACTCCTATACCTCCACCCCCTACACACACACTTGAAGTAGCTCTACTGTGTGTGTGCAAGGATGCACAGAAGCACATGCAAACACTAGAGCTGTCCCTCAATATTAGCTCCAGATGCCCTCAAATACCAAATCTGCGGATGCTTATGTCCTTTATACGAAATGGCATAGTATTTGCATATAACCTAAGCACATTCTCCTGTATACTTTAAATCATCTCTAGATTACTTATACTACCTAACAGGATGTAAATGCTATGTAAATACAATAGTTATATTGTATTGTTTAGAATGTAATGACAAGAGAAAAGTGCGCACATGCTCAGGAAAGACACAATTTTTAAAAACATTTTTGAGCTATGGTTGAACTTCTCAAATAGGAACCCACAGCAGGGCCAATTGTACCCGCACATCACACACATACTTTCCTACACACCAAGGGCATACACAGCCTCAGCAGTGCTCAGAATACACTCACCCTCCACCAGTGAAGTCAACAGTGTCACGTTGGCGGCCTTCCGTCGGCCTGCTGGTAGGTTGAGCCCAATCTTCTCCAGTCGTTCCCGCAGGCACCTGCCCCCATTCTTGGACTTGGCCCTTGACATGCACAGAGAGAAACAGACACCCAGCTATGAAGAAAAGAGAGAAGCTTGTAGGCGAAGTGACCCTAAAGGGGCTGTTGCCCAATCCCTGTTCACTTGGAGATTCTCTTGAGTCTTTTAAAAGCAAGATCACAACCTCTTTCTAACCTCCCCGTTTCTACAATCAAGACTGGGATGGAGCCCCCAGCACCCAGCTCCAGAAGTCCCTATTTCTCCCTACTCCTCTCTACAGCAGGGATAGCCCGGGGCAGGGCGGAATGGGGCAGCATCTTAGGGTCCTTTTCCCCCACCTTAGCACATTGCTGGGGATGCACAGAGCCATATGCAGATACAGAGTGACACACAGAGGGACACAGGTACACACACAGTCATCTGGGGACTCACAGATTCACACAAACACGAATAAATAATGAAGGTCAAGAATATGGAGACACATACACACCCACCCATGGAGACAGGCACCAGAGACCCACAGACTTAGATGCCCAGGGACATCATCACACCAAGTTAGGACCCTAGAGACAAGTCCTTCAGGGATGCTCGGAGGCCAGAAATAAGGAGAGACTCTTATCACTGCGCAAATGCAACCCCATATAGAGATACAGTCATGTAAACAGACATACAACTAGCTGCAGATGCACACACCATTACACACACACACACGTGTGCATGCACCACACTCCAGGCTACACATTCCCACTAAGAATAACACAAGAGGCTGGGTGTAGTGGTGCACGCCTGTAATCCCAGCACTTGGGGGCTGAGGCAGGAGGATCGCTGAGTCCAAGGCCAGCCTGGGCTACATAGTGAGTTCAGGGTCAGCCTGCACTACACAGCAAGACCCTGTCTCAAAAAAGGATAACGAAGAAAATATGAGTTTTACTTGTAGAAACACATACTCCTGGATATCCCCTAATACATACACACACACATCATTCTCAGACTCATCCGAACTTATAGCCCTGAAACAGAAATACTCTTCCTAGGCACAAGGACATGAAGAGAGAGAAACAGACATATGGCTGTGTAAACAAACTATGGACTACCGTGCTTCCCAACCCAAAATATACAAACCAGTGAGGCCTGTACGAACACAGAGAATGGACTTAGGGCCCTCGTGTCCTTTCCTTGGGGAGGGGTGAAGATGGCACTCTTTTCCCCAGACTCAGCCTTGTCTATCCTGCCCAGTGGGGGTGAGTCTTCCATTCTTTTTCAGTGCCCCGGCTTCTCTCTTTGTCCTCCCCACCCTCTGCCCGACCTGAGAGCCTGGACCTGCCCGAGTGTGCATGACCTGGGGTCCCTGGGCCCTCCTCTCCCAGGGAGACAGGCGGATGCCGTGGCCGGGGTGATGCCGTGAGAGGGTCTGAAGGGAGCAGGGGCTCTGGCTGGGGCTGTGGGCTGGCCTTCCTACCTGCGGAGGACACCACCCAGGAGGGAGGCATTGAGGCACTCAGGAGGTGAGAGTCGCCGCTGCACCTCCCCCACCGTCACCTTGTACTTGGACGTTGAGCTGAGTAACGAGAGCCGGCCAGGCACGGAGCAGAAGACTTCACTGGGGTTGGTGATGCCGCCAACCAAGCCGTCTTTGGCCAACGAGAGGGCTGACAGGCAGCTGGCTTTGGAGGGCATGGGGACTGTAGAGCAGAAGCAAGGGAAGAGAAAGGGGACACTGAGCCAGAGGCCACAGGACAGGCACCAGCCGGCCATGGAGTGGGTGCACTGATGACTCACCAGCTGTGCACATGGAAAGATCCAGCACCTTTCGGAGGGATGCTCTAGCATCCCTGCTTTACAAAGGGAGAAACTGAGGCACACTGAGGTTAAAGTGATGCATCAAATCCACTCAGGAGGAGCAGACACTGAGCCCGGAGCTGCCTGGCTCTCAAACCCATGAGCCCTCACTGAGCCTCTTAAAACTCAGTTTTAGCACAGCGTGGTCATTCTGGTAGGTGCCATGAGAGAGGGAGCTGGATGTGAGGAAGTGGAGTCTGAGCCGAATGTAGGATTCCTGGGTCACCACAGCGGGACCCAGCCAGGCCCGGGCAGTCACAGGGAGTCCCAACTCCCCCTTCCCATCGATGACCCCCACAGTCCCACCCCTGAGATCAGTGAGGGGCTGGGGTTTTGGATTCCCACATCCAGGCCACTCTGGGGGTGCTCCAGGAAACAAGGAATAAGGAGGTATGGCCTATGGTACCCTCCCCTAAATGCTCCCTTAATTATCTATGAAGGGAATCAGAGAAGTTAATAATGTTCTAAAATTCACCTAGATCCTCTTGGCTGTAAAAGAAAGTTCTTCTCTCCCTCTAACCTCCATCTTTTGGCTTAACTGTAGGAGGCAGGAAGACTATTCAGGCCCTGGCTTCTTCCAAGGAACTCCCAGGCCTTCTCTTTCAGGGAAGCGAGTGCCTCAGTAGACAAGGTCTTATGTGTGTGTTGGGAATGGTGGTCAAATGAGGAGTCTGGTGCTAACAACTACTGCGTACTCACTACGCCATGTGTCATGTGGATGCCCATCCCAGCTCTTGGAACAACCCACAAGGCGGCTACCCTTACTCTTCTCACTGACAGATGGGGAGACTGAGGCCCAGAGGTAGAGTAGGGTGTCTGATAGCACCCAGTTGGTAGACTGAGAACCAGTAGCAAACCCAGTACCGTGATCTCTTTGCCTTTCTGTCATTTGAAAAATATTTGCTGGGCTGGGGATTTAGCTCAGCAGCACAGCTCCTGCCTGGCGAGCACAAGGTTGTGAGTTCGATTCCCGGTACCGGAAAAAAACAAAACAAAAAAAAGAAAAATACTTGCTGAGCACTGTGTGCCAAGAGCTATGCTGGCCTTGGGAAGAAGATGTAAACAAAGCTCACCCTGTTCCTAGCCTGGCAGAGCTGCCGCTTTTCCCCTCTCCCAATGAGCATCCCCGCTCTGCGCCCAGCCACCCGAACAGAAACTTCGGGATACCCTCTGCACCTCTCTCGGCTGCCACATCCCACCCACTGCGCTGGGTTACGGCTTCACTGTCTTAACCAGCCTCGGACGCAGCCCTTCTCTGCGTGTGCACAGACGCTTTCCCACTTTCTGCACAGCCTCTGCTCTGGCCCTCTGTCCTGCTGCAGAGGGATCTTTCTGAAACATGCATCACTCACAGTTACTCTGCGGCTTAAAACCCACCAGCGCCGGCTCAGTGTCCTGAAAGGCAGATCCCAGCTCCACAGCTGGGCAGAATGAGGTTGCCTATCAGTAAGGGCTGAGGAGAGCTGCTATCCAGATTCTCACGTCAAAACGAAAAAACCTGGGCTGGAGGTGTAGCTCAGTGGTACAGCACCTGCCTCGTCATACATGAGGTCCTGGGTTCAATCCCCAGCACTGGAAATAAATAAATAAAAAGAAGAAACTGAAAGTTCAAGGAGCTCAAAATATCATAGCAAGTACAGACCAGAAGAATCTTGAACTCTGGCCACTGACTCTAACGTTCACATCCTTGGGGCTGGGGATATAGCTCAGCAGCACAGTGCCTGTCTGGCAAGCACAAGGTTGTGAGTTCAATTCCTGCTACCAAAATACCAAAACAAAATGAATAAAGTTCACATCTTTAGCCATCAGTTATAATGGCTCCTCCCTCCTGGTTTTACCTGGTCCCATTTGTCCTTTAGGCTCTAGACCCACACTGACTAAATATAATATGAGCCACAAATTCAGCATGGTGGCACATACTTGTAATTCCAGCACTCAGGAGGCTGAGGCAGGAGGATCAGGAGTTCTGGGCCAACCTGGGCAACTTAGTGAAATGCTGTCTCAAAAAAGAAAAATTCACAAATGTAAACGTCCTGGGGCTGGGGATTTAGCTCAGCGGCAAAGCGCCTGCCTGGCAAGCGCAAGGTCATGAGTTCGGTTCCTGGTACCGGAGAAAAACCAAAAAAAAAAAAAACAAAAAAAACAAATGTAAACGTCCTAATAGTTACACTGAAAAAAAAAAAAAGAAATGTGAGATTAATTTTAATTCATATATAACATTAAAATATATAATATTTAACATATTAATATAAATCAATACTATAATATTAATATAATTAATATTATAGTCTATATTAGGTTAACAATATAATCCATGTAATCAGTATTTTAAAAATTAATGAGATATATTGAATTTTTTCTTTTACTGGGTTTTCAAAATCCAGTATGCACTTTACACTTATAGCTCATGTCTATTCAGACAAGTCACACTGAGTGCTCAGCAACCACGCGTGGCTCGCGGCCACCACAGCAGCCCTAGACGTCACAGGCGGGGAGCACAGGTATCACATGTGAGACGTGGATGTGGGGGAGACTGCAGCCTGCGTGTGTGCTGCCCCGGGCACAGACCCAATATTCTCTTGAGCGAGGCCCTCCTTCCCCAGCTGCAGGTTAGCCTGAGCTTCTGCACGGAGTGCCCTGGGCCCCTCCATCCTCATCCCTGTCTGCGCAACTCTGGATTGTCCTAATCTGCCACACAACTATCTTCCCCACCAACGAGGAGCACAGCGAGGCCAGGTTCTTGGTCCAGGTGGCCAGCAGTGCACATGGAGTGAACGAATGAAGCAATTTGGAGACCCAAAGTGGGAAACAGAACGGTGGTCCCAGATGGCAGGGAGTGTGAGGGAACCTCATCTTGTTAGCTGCCCTTCCTCCCCGGGTCTCCATTCAGGCACCAGAGCAAGGTTAGAACGAGGCTAACACCAGTGAGGGACTTGGGTGCAACATGTAAGAAGGCACCAATTACTTGGATCAAGACACTTGGTATTCTTGCTTCACTCAGTGCTGCATGCCTGTAATCTCAGCACTTAAGAAGCTGAGGCAGGAGGACGACGAGTTCAATGCCAGACTGGGCTACATAGCAAGGTCAATGCCAGCCTAGACTCTATAGCGAAGTCCCATCTCAAGGGAGTTCTGCCAAGTACTTTCTTCTGCTGACGGCAGATTTATGCAAACAGAGGTGCAGCCACGTGCAAATGCATAGCCGTAGGGACACAGAGACAGGGTGAGCTTTGTTTACCTCTTCCTCCCAAACTCATGACATGGGAACATGTTCCTGTGTATGAGTGATAGTCCTTGCTGCTTCCCCAACCTGTTGCTTTTTCCTCAGAGCTCTTTCCTCAAAAATGGCAAGAGAAATGCAGTCCAAGATTAGGGAGCTGGGTGAGCCAGGGAAGGGGCCATCGTGGAGGTGGGATTTGACCTGGCAGACTGCAAAGCAGACACTGATACTCGTTTCCCACACTCACAAGACCCTCTTCCACAGTGGCTCCTGAAGCTGCTCTAGCTATGGTGTCCGCTTGGTCACACACTCCGAAGCTATTCGTGTACTTTCGAGACTCAGAGCTGACACAAGAGTTCCCACTTATCCAACCTGCCCGACAAGGTGCACATACCCGAGTCTACCCAGAGGTGGTAGCCATCAGCTGGCTACTGAATCTGAGGCTGCACAATACACTCTCCCAGAAAACATGGTGAAACTGCAGTTCCTTCTAGGAAACAAAGTTTCATGACAGGTTCAGTAGAGTTAGTTCTTAATTATAACACCAAAAGCATGATCCATAAAAGATAATTATAAATTGGACTTCATCAAAATTCACAATTTTTGTACCTCAAAGGGCAACACTAAGAAAATAAAAGGGACCAGGCATGGTGGCTCATGCCTGTAATCCCAGCTATTCAGAGGCTGAGGCAGGAGAATCCCAATTTTGAGTACCACTTTTTTTTGTGTGTGTGTGTGTGTATTTTTTGAGACAGGGTCTCGCTATACCATTCAGGCTGGCCTTGAGCCCATTTGTAGCCTAGGCTGGCCTTGAACTCGAAACAATCTTCCTGCCTCAGCCTCCCGAGTGCTGAGATTACAGGTGTGCGCCACCATGCCTCGCTTGAGTACCACTTGAGCAACTTAGTGAGAACTTGTCTTAAAAATCCAAGGCTCAGGACATGGTTCAATTCTCAGTACTGCAAAATAAATAGATGATAGCTAGATGAATAGATGGAGATAGAAAGAGAGAGAAATTTTTAAAAGGTGAACCACAGCTTGGAAGAAAATATTTTCAAATTAAATATCTAATAAAGGATGTGTATTCAGAACATATTTTAAAAATCTCTCACAACTCAATAAGATAACCTAATTTTAAAATGGTCAGTGCAGAGCATAGTGACACTCAACCGTGATGCCAGCACTCTGGAGGCTGAGGAAGGAGGTTTGCCACAAGTTCAAGGCCAGCCTTGGGTATATAATGAGTTCAAGGCCAGCCTAAACTACAAAGCAAGACTGTCTCAAAAAAAGAAAGATAACATAAAAAGTTTAAAAAACTAAAAAAAAGCAGGAAAAAAATGGTCAAAACATGTAAAACTACTTGATTAAAAATGATGGATGAATGGCTCTTAAGTACACAAAAACTGCCCAACATCATTGGCCATTAGCAAAATACAAATGAAGACTATACTGAGATACCACTAGGTGGTTACAATAAAAAAGAAAATACCAAGTGTACGTGAGGGTGTGCAGAAACCAGAACCTTCACACCTTGCTGGTACCAATGTAAATAAAATAGTACAGGCACTTTAGAAAACAGCTTGGCAGGTTCTTAAAAATTAAACATAAATTTACCACATAGTCCACCAACTCCACTTCTAGCAAACAATGAAAACATATGTCTACACAAAGACATGTATATAAATGTCCACGGCAACCTTATTCATACAGTAAAAGAGTAGAAACAACACACATGCCGATCAACCAGCTAATGGATAAACAAAATGTGTGTTGTGTCCATACTGTGGAATAGTACTCAGCAATAAAAAGAAAAAATTACCGGTACATGTTACAATAGGGATGAGCCTCAAAAGTTTTATGCTAAATAAAAGCTAAAAGCAGCTGGATGTGGTGACACACACCTGTTGGTGAGGCTGAGGAAGGAGGAGAGCAAGTCTGAACCCAATCTGGGCAACTTTGTAATTTAGGGACACCCTATTTTAAAATTTAAAAAGTAAAAAGGGCTGGAGATGTAGCTCAAGGTAAGGTGCTGGGTTCAATCCCCAATACCACAAAAAAGAAAAAAAAAAACAAAGCTAGAAGCAAAAGCCTGCATATCTGTCTATTCTATGTATACAAAGAGTCCGGAATATGCAAATTTATAGACAGAAAGTAGATCAGTGGTTGCCTAAGGGTTGGAGTGAGAGCGAGGATTAACTACAAATGGGAATGAAGGAATTTTGAGGGATGATGGAAATATAGATTGTGGTAATGGTTGTACAGCTCTACACATTTACTGAAAATCATCAGATTGTATTCTTAAAACGAGTGAATTCTATGTATATAAAATTTACCAAGTTCCAGGGCCATACATCCTTTCAGGGATTCAGATTCAGGGGATGTGAGTAGGGGCTCAGAAACTGCATTTTTAATTAGCACCTCTAGGGGATCCTCCTATTTATTTTTTATTTTTTTTCCCTCCTGTTTATTATGCTTCCTTGGACCACACTTAGGATCTCTGGGGTCCAGAGTCTGGCGGCAAGGAATATACCCTAAGGAAGGCAAGCAAGAGGGGCAGTGACCCCCGCCCCCCAGCCTACTTGAGTCTCCTCCATCTGCCCTTGTGGGACCTCCTGGTTAAGTTCTCTTCTCTTTTTTTTTTTTTTTAAGTTCTCTTCTCATCAACTGTCTTTACTCCCCTGCTCCATACTCGTCTGTGGCTCCCACTGTCCTTGGGTAAAGTCCAAACTATCTGCCTCCTGCTGTTCTTTTAGTTGCAGTCTGGGGCAGACAGTAGCCTGGAGGCAAGTGAGGAAGGAGGAATTCAGAGCCCCGTCGTTGTGTAAATTTCTGATGCTAATGTAACAGATTGTTTACATTATTTTTAATTTTAACGTTATCGTTTATCTTGACTACTAAGTTTTTTTGGTACCTTCTTACATGCTGCCCCAGAGAGATGAGTACCTCACTTTCCTCACTCCGTTCAGTCCCAGAATGTTTGGAAACTCATTTGGAAGCTCAGACTCTCCCCACCTCCATTGGAACTTTCGGCAGAGCCAAAGAGATCAGAATAAAGGGCGATGTTTCCATCAGCCTCCTTCCCAGAGGGCCCCTGAGACGACCACCGGCCTCTCAGAGGGATTCCCCAGCCCCAGGCAGGCAGCCAGTCACTGTCTTCTGGAGGGACAGGGACATATCTCAGTTCTCACCCCTAAACCACTCGCCTCCAGTGGGTGCACTGGGTTTTTAATACTTTGGTTTTTCCGCAGAGAAGGAAGGCATCTGCCCATGCTATGCTTAGTGTGGCGAGAGTAGCTCGACCCTTTCTGCACTTCCCTTTCCCATGTACTCAGAAGCCCTCGCTTATGCATTTAACACCCACTGAACCGGGTTCAAAAGTCTCGCCTCTAGGAAGCCTCCCAACCTCAGGCACCGCTCAACCTGCGAGCCCCGCGGACCCTGCGCAGCCGCTCTCACCTACCGCACCCTGCCCTTCTCGGCTGGAAAATAGTCCCGTGCAGCTCCGTCTACCTCATCAGTCCTGCCTGCTTTCTGGGGCCCTGGGTCAGGCTGCAAAACGGGAGGTGACAATGTGCGCCTAAATGGAAGGCTCCCCAGTTCCGCGCGGGCGGGCTTCTTCTACCCCTCCCCACTCGGTGGCTGCCAGAGGCAGACCTGGGGGTGCGGCCGGGCGGCGGAGTCCCTGAAGATCGCGCGGTCCCGCTCCGAGCCCCCGGAGCCCGCAAGCTCCGCTCCCTGATGGCACCAACTAGATCGTAGCCCGAACCCTTCTCACCCCACGGAGCAAAGCCACGACTGCGGGGAGGCCGGCGCTGTTTCTGTTTCTGCTTCGGACGCGACACCTCAACTCTTGGCCACGCAGCCGCCCCTCGCGCCACGGCTGGGAAGAGCTGCGGGGAGGGGACGCTTCGCCCGCGCTCGCCCTGAGCCACTTTCTGTAATCCACGGGCCTGCAGCGCGGAGTCCACACCGCGGGCGGCAGGCGCTGGAGACTCGGGAGAAACGACCCTGGCTTCCAGCGCCTGAGGACGATGAAGGGCTCTAATCCACTACCCCATGGCGATCCAAAGAACTAGGGGCGAGGCAGATTCCCCCGTGACCGCACAGCGCCAGGTGAAAACTGCCCGCTGCGCCAGGAGCGTCCGGGGCCCCAAGGCGCAGGGCTCGAGCCAGGCGGGCCTCGCAGCTACACGGTGCCTCGAGGTGGGAACCGCAGTGGTCACGCCGGTGTCGACCCTCTCCTCCCAGGCCTGCCTGGCAGGGCACCGGCGCTTCCTTCCGCAGACAGCCGGGATTCTGGCCCCCTCCTTCCTCTTTTGCTGCAGCGCCCGGGGCTGTAACTGGACGTCGTGGCTCAGTCACAGGCACTCCAGTAACGCTCCACTGGACCACCGACCCAGAACAGCGCAAGCAGAGCTCGCTGTGTCCTTGGGACTGTCTTGGGGGATTCCGGGCACACCTAAGATCTGGGAGTTTCCAAAGCTGATGGATGTCCTTCCAAAGAAGCGAATTCCAGGTCATTCCCGTCCCTTCTCACATGCCAGTCTCCTGCCTGAGGTTCTGAGTTAACATAATCTGATCAACAGCAGATGCTTTTACCCTTCCCAGGGCAGAGGTCCCTAGGCTTCTCAGAATGCAGGGTCTTGGCTCTTTATGGAGTCAGTGAACCTAGGACTCCTCACTCTTGAGCCTGGGCAGGCATTAGGAACAGGGGAGAGGGTGCTGGCAAGGATGGTCGTATCTCCAGTGGGCAGGGGGCCAAGCCCAGTGGCAGGCTCTTACAGACTGTAGACCCAGGTCTCCCTTCCATCAGTGTCAAGATGGGAGCTCTCCAGGAAGCTGGGAAAGCCTGGGTGGGGCACATAGCACAGTTCTAAGTGTCCTACCCAGGGTCCTCCACATAACCCCAGCTGCGGAGGGGGGGGTCCAGGAGGCGCTCTTCACCAAGTTCTGATAGGCTGTCCTCTCATCGCTCCCTACACAAGCCAAGTGGTCCAGCCAACTCCCGGGTCCTGGTGACCCAGTCCTAGCCCTACTCCTTCTCCTCATCCCTGTGCCCACCAAGACCCTCCCTCTGAGAACCCGTGGTGGGGGTCAAACAGAACCTGGGCTTGAATTCACTTGTTTGAAAAACAACTCTAGCCAAATCCTTCGGGAAGAGAGGGGAGGAGCGGCCACTGCTGTGCCTCCAAATTCCTTTGGGCACCTACCCCAGATCTAAAGAGCCTGCCCAAGGCCTGGGTCCCTCTGGGTCTATTTGTTTCTCTTGGTATATCTCTGTTTTTCTTTTACCTTTCCCTGGCACGGCCAAAATTCCCAGGCCTAAAAATCCACTTAGGAGCGTGTCTTATACCACTGGCATCTACTAATGTAAAAAGACACACAAATACGCTGAAAATGCACAGAGCGGGACCCTCACAGCTTAGAAATCCTCAGCTACCAAAGGACAAATATTAGAGCACAACAGAGACCCTGTTACATACACTGAAAACCTCAAAAACAGAGAGGTGTACTCCAACACAGAGAAGTGCAGACCACTCACACACAGATGTGAATCCCCAGTACACTCACAACAAAATGTACTCTAAAAAATACTGACACCTGGAAAAGGAAGATACAGAGATGCTGCATAGGACCCAGAACTCACAGAAACACCCAGGAGCAGGCGGGCCCTGACCCTCGTGCACACAATTTAACACACAATATTCATGCACTGGGTCTCGAATCCTTAATGCTGATGCAGGCTTTGGCTGAAGGAAAATTCCCTGATGGGAAATGCAAGGCCCGCAAAGCCCTGCCGCGAAGGAAGGCGCAGAAAGTGCCTGCCAGGCTCCAAGATGGTAAAGCTCTGTAAAGCAGAAATCATTTACCAAAATTTGTGGGTCCAGCACTTCCATTCCCACCTCTTAGGAAAGAGGGAAGTCGTTTAACTTGTTCTGCAAATTAACTCCAGATCCATCAGAGCGCCCTCCCCTCGGCAAGCCGAGGCCAGGCCCAAGCGCCGGAGCCCGGAAGAACACAGCGGGACTCCAGCCGAGAGCAGGCAGCAGGCTCCAGGGCAGTCAAAGAACCCGCTCCACTGCCCAGCACCGGCAGACCCGCAGCCTCTGCTGCCCCTCTGCTGGGCTGGGAAGAGTGTTCGGTGGCCACCGAGCTGGGCGACGCACAGGAGGCACTGGCAGCCCTGAAGGAAATGGGTCTGTTTGCCCGAGCACCGCACCATCTCGCCGCGCTCTACCTCGACAGCCCATTGCCATTCCTTACCTTTCTTGATCACAGACTGGTCCAGGAGGCTCATTCCCGGTTCATCCATGGCCTGCAAATAGCAGAGGGCAGCGGTGAGGGAGCGTGTGGATCTAGCGGTCACATCTTTCCCCGAGCCCATGCCACCCGGGGTCCCTGTCTGCTCCGCCCCAAGCGCGCCCCGCACCGCCCGGGGAGACTACGGGTAGGACTGGGAATCGCCGGTTCGGCACCATCTGCGGCCAAAGAGCGAGTCCTGGGCACTCACTGTACCTCAGGAGGCCACTACCGCACTTCCCTTGCCCCAAGCGCAGCTGCCCCCGCAGGCGGAGGCTGTGCATAGCTGCCCGACGGGGCTCAGCCGCACCGCGGGGAGGGAGGGAAGTGACTTGGTCCCTGCCGAGGGTTGCTGCCGTTAGGCATCGGGCACCGATTTAGTGCCAGGTCGCCTTAACCGGGCAGTGTCTAAGCCAGAAGAAGGAGTGCTTCCTCGGAGACACAGGCGCCAAGCGGCAGGCTGGGAGAAAAGTCAGGCTCCTGAATTTGTCACTTTCTGCCTTCAGGGTCCCAGCCCACCGCAGACCCCTCGCGTCTCACCTGTATGTCCTCCAGGCCGGGCGGCGCGGCCAGCCCCGGGAGGCCGAGGGGCGCGTCCGCCAGGCCGTGCGCGCCGTCC